GGCAGTTTTGTGATGATGTAGCGAACTGATGTCTGAACTGATGTGGTCATCACCCTCCATTGTCATAGAGCACCGATATTTGCATAACAATATGGTCTTTGGGATCTAACCATGTTGCTCAGGGAGGAGTGTATGTAATACAATGTAGGAACCAACACAAAGAATGCAAAGGCAGCTCATTGTTTTCTCCTTTCTCTTTTGTTCCAGCAGCCCCTGTGGTGTTGATGGGTTGCGATCCGCAAGGTCGGTCCTTTGGAAACCCTAGCCACTCCATGGGAGGAAGACAGGGCTTTCAATCACCATAAACAGGCACAGCCTCAGAAACGTGCAGAGGCAGCCCTGCCCTGTCCTGTAGGGTCACTCTGAGTCAGCATCGACTCAATGGCCGTGAGTTTGGTGTCTTTGGCCTTAGTCTCTAATATTTTTTCTATTACAGTTGAGATTACAAACTTGCACTACTGTAGCCAAGGAAAAATAGCCGAGACTGAAGCAGAGTTATGAATTAGATCTTTAGTGCAAAAATATTACTGGATATTTCCTAATTTTAAAACAGCTTCAGTCTCTCAAAATATTTTTGAAAGCTCTTTCTGAATAAAATTTGCAACTGGAGTTTATTTTGTTTAAGTACAGTGAAAACAATTATGCAGATTACAAATAGGAATATGTGAAGAACAACAACAACAAAAAATCCCCAAAGTGCTTTATCTAGAAAATGCTGTGAAATACTTTAGGTGAATTTAACAATAGAAAGTATTAGATTATAGTTATTCTGTAAAGGTGTTAAAACAAATACGGAATGCTATAAAATATTCAACAATCCCAGCACAATGACTAGCTTCTGTGTATTGTAGAAATACACATGTTGAAGGGTCAGACTTCAGTCTCCATTCCAGCCCGGCCTTGTCCTGGAGAGACTGCCACTCATCCCCAGGGATGGCTCTCAGGATGTATCCAGCATAGAAGGTAGCAGGGATCAGGCCATTGTCCCTCCCTCACTGCCATCGAGTGATGCTGCCTCATAGCATGGTCCCTGTGGGGTTCCGGGACTATAACTCTTTACAGGAGTAGAGAGCCCCGTCCTTCTCCCATAGAGCGCCTGGTGGTTTCAAACGGCCAACCATGTAAACCGCAGCCCGAACTCGTAACCACTACACCACCAGGGCTCCCACTCTGTTTATTTGCTTGCATGATTTCCCCACTCGCCTTCATAAGGTGATTATTGGAATCTTGTGTTCTATCTCTAGTTTCCTTGTTGCTGGGCAAGGCCTTAACTATCACTTTAACTCCAGTTGACGGGAGACTCCCTTACTATCCCATGCAGGTGGCTTCAAAGGCTCAGTGCATGTTCACATGTAGGCCAGTCCCTTCTTCTAAATCGCCTCCTTTGCACACGGTCCCTTTAAGGGTCTCGGTTCACAGAACACAGAACTCTTGTGGCTTTGGATGCCGGCTACTAAATGGCTTTTAAGCAGGTGTTCACAAAGTCAAATGAAATTGAATAAACTTCTCCTGGGCTTCCTATATTTTCTCATTAGTTTGACTGTTTACTTTATGGTCTCCAAAATGTCCACTGCTCTGTTCCAATTATTCTAGAAATAAAGGATCGGGGCATAATTGCTGACATTAAAAATAAGGTAAATTGGACATTGCCTAAGCAGACAAAAATAATGTTTCTGCTACTGCAGCCTTTGGAAAGAAAGAATTACTACGATCTTAGCTGGAGCTGGGGCGTGGAAAGGAAGCTGACAGAACTGTTTGAAAATGCCCTGTGTTACACATTGGGCCACCTCCTGAAAGGTCAGCAGTTCAAACCCATTGGTCACTCTTGTGAGGAAATACGGGGCTTTCTAGTCCTGGAAGGAGCCCCAGTCTCAGACACCCACAGGGCCAGTTCCCACAGGGTCGCTACGAGTTGCCGTGGACTTGACCTTTTTAGGTTCTGACATACTCTGATTTGGGGATTACAACTCAATGTAAGGAAAACGAAAATCCTCATCACTGGACCAATCAGTCACATCGTGATAAGTGGAGACAAGTGTGACGTTGTTAAGGATCTTGTCTTGCTTGGATCCGTAATCAATGCTCACGGACGCGGCCGTCAAGAGATCAAAAGACCCGCATTAGTTAAGTCTGCTGCACAAGACCTCTCGAGAGTACGGAGGGGCAAGGATGCTCCTGGGAGGATGAAGATGCGCCTGACCCCAGCCGGACCCTAATCTCAGCTGCCTCGTGTGCATGTGAAAGGCGGACACCGAAGAAGGACAACAAGGAGAATGGATGCGTTCGAACTGTGGAGCTGGGGAAGAAGATGGGAAGTACCAGCGCTGCGAGCAGCAAACTGATCTGTCCTGGAACAACCCGGCCAGAGTGCCCTTTGGCTTCCGTACTTTGACAGGGTGTATGTGAGCATGGGAGAAACCACCTCACGTCCTACCTGGGTGTCCGTGAAAGCGCCCGTGAAAGCGCCCGTGTACATGGAAGTGTATTAGTATATGGGGGTCCTCAGTCCCTTGCCTTTCAAAATGGTAACAGTGCCACAACCAGAGCAGGGGGCGACCTCGCCAGCACCAATCAGGACTGCCTGCAGAAGAAAGCCTCCACCTTTCAGAATGGCCTGCAGGGCCTTCACTCGGACTCCTTTCTCTCTTGACACTGCCACTCCCTGCGTCCGCACATCAGTGTCCACGCCTGCCAGGCTCCACATCCCTGGGCTCTCTCTGCCTCTCCGACTGGGACCAATCCTGCTTGGGAACTTCCAGCTGGACAGGTCATCATTGGTGCTCATCTCCCTCACTTGGCAGTTTACACTCGACTCTGTGCTGCGCTTGAGCCTGTATGTCGTACTTAACCTCTGTAAGGGTTCTCGGTCACGTTTGTTGCTCTCAAACACTTGCCATAAATACACCCATCATCAGCAAACACTTTGGAATCAATTAAAAGCATATACCCAATGTATAAAGATGTGTCTTCCTGTCTGTAAAGTACTTTTTAAGGTCTACATCTGGAGGTTTAGCATGTTTCTCTTCAAAAACTCCCGTTTTAGGATGTTTATGTCTGAAGATAAAATGAAGTTTATAATCTTCTCCACATTTATCTGGACCAAACATGATCGTATAGGAAGTCTTATCATAAAAGTTTTCCTTCAAAGAGAGATGAGAATGGAAATTAGTTAAGAATTACAGAGTAGTCAATGAATTCTCTAGTCTTTCTAGTTGTTTAGAGCTTACAAAACTATATTTATGGCTAATTCACCCAAGGGTTCATCTGACATAAGTAACAAGAACAGACGTGGGGCAATGACAGACACATTTCCACAGTTTTGTCTGGAAAAAGCCGCAACGTGTCTGAACAGGAGCCCACTGACAGTTATTCCTGACTCACCTACGGAACGTGAAAATAAACTGTACAAACTTAAACTGGAAAAGCAAAAACCTTCGGGGAGTTTCCAATATGTAAGTTGAAAGGGTAAACATTTTCAATTTTATCAATTATTCTTTCTAATTACTTATTAACTTTTAAAAAGCTTTTCTTAAATATTAAAATATCATACCAGGTTCAAATCATCAGAGTCGACTAGGAGTTTAATGTATGCACCTCCACAATCAATACCATCTTGAAAATTTACTTCATATCTAAATGAAGGGGAGAAAAATCATATTGCCGACACAGAAATTACTGACTGTCCTTTAAAATCTAAAATATTTGTCTCAATTCATTTGAAAATACTTGTTTTACATAATCAACTCATATAAAGCACACCTGTAACTTCAAGGCAATGATCAGAGATGCTTTTCTAATACTGCAATACAATGGGTACCACTGGAATATTAACAAACAGAATTCTTAAAATCAATTATAAAAATGTCGACCAATTTATCGAAACAACTTCTCTCACCCAAACTGGCTCCTGTGGTTAAAACAGCAAGAGAGAGGAACTTTTGAACTTAGGTAAAGAAGGCACCACCTATAATACTCCTTATACACTGAAAAAATAAGGGAATCGACGAGGACAAAGACAACAGGAGTGGACTTTCAAGGAACAGGTAACTCTCAATTTGCTTTCTAGGTTCAATTACACCTAGGACATGTTGGTTAAGTTCTATGTCCAATGAAATAGTACCGGGAAAGGTATTTCAGAATCTCAGCCAATCACCTGAGATGTTTCAAACACCTGACCAGCCAGGAGGTTTCAACACCTGACCAGCCAGATGTTTCAAACACCTGACCAGCCAGGATTATGGTGTAACAGAGAAATGAGCAAAACAAGTGTTTTCTCCGTACAAGTTTCTTAAAAGAAGAAAAGGTCTTGCTTCAGTCTTGAGGCATATAGACTTGGTGAATAGGATTCAGAAAAAATTCTAGGTAAGTTGATGTGAATTATTTACACCAAAACTCCCGTGGCTGGGGTGGGCTGGGGGGAGTGGGAGAAGCAGGCAATGGGGAAAGAAGAGGGAGGGGAACAGGTAAGCACCGCAGGGTGGCCGTGTGTTTCCGTGAGTGAGGCTGGGAATGCACAGAAGCAATAGCACCCGGTGACCGCTCTGAAAGAGAACTGCGCTGTCAAATCTTTCTGAAGACGTTAGTGAGAAGTACAAAAAAACAAAACGAAAAAACATTGGATACAGGATTCTAACAGTTGGAACCCAATTTTACTATAGAGGAAATACAATACAGTTCAAAGTTAACTGAGTTGCAGGATTATGAATGGTGTATGTTTTCGCTTTCTCTTCTTTGTCTTACTTGCCAAGTGATGTTCGTGATTCCGAGCATTGGCTTGGCACTCAGAAAGCTACTTACCATTCGGTTTGAGTTCTTGAATAATCTCTTACAGTGCAGTTCTCAAATTAAGCTCTTGTAGAAATGGTGCACACTCCCATTTGCTCGTCTATCAAACGGGGACGTTGGCTATGCCACTGGAGCCCTGGTGGCATAGGGGGTTATGTGTTGGGCTGCTAACCACAAGGTCAGCCCTTTGAAACCACCAGGCCCTCCCCAGGAGAAAGACGGGCCTTTAAGAGGGTGTACACTGGTACAGATGGCAACTGGAAACACAGGGGATCCAGGACAGATGACCCCTTCAGGACCAGTGGTGAGAGGGGCGATGCCTGGAGGGTGGAGGGAATGTGGGATGGAAAGGGGGAATTGATTACAAGAATCTAAGTATTGCCTCCTCCCTGGGGGAGGGACAGCAGAGAAGAGGCGGGGGGGGGGGGGGGAAGACGTCGGACAGTGTAATTTATGACAAAACTATAATAAGTTATGAATTATGGAGGGTTCATGGGAGGAGGAGGGAGAAAATGAGCAACTGATATTAGGGCCTAAAGTGGAAGCAAGTGTTTTGAGAATGAGGGCAACAGATGTACATACGTGCTTGACACAATGGATGGATGTATGTATGGATTGTGATAAGAATTGTACGAGCCCCCAATAAAATAATAAAAAATAAATAAAAGAGTTAGTTACAGAAGCTCCTGAGAGCAGTTCTAGCCCGTCCTACAGGCTCACTCTGGAATCCACTAGACCGCAACGAGTGAGCTGCTCGGTGCAAGGCAGACCACGGCCGCAGAAGCCCAGATGCGCTGTCATCTGTCAGGATTGACTCAGCAGTGAACTGGGGTGGTTTTGTTTTGTTTTTTTAATCCTTAAAGGATTGTTATAAATATTAAAGGATTTTATGTACAAAGATGAGCAAACAAATGCTCAAAAATGTTAGCCTCTGCTATGATCAGGATAAAATGGTGTCAAACTTTTAAATAAAGTACAGTTTGTTTGCCTCAAAGCCCTGCCGATAATTCTATTTTAAGCAATAGGTGACAAAGTCATTTCCCCCCATGGATTTAAGTCTTTCAAGATGATATTCAGAAGAAATAGCACATAATATGTCTTAAAAGGAAAGACCTTACTTAGAAGAATAAAGTAAACACAGCTTTATTATAGGTGGTCTAAGGACAGAGGGCTTTATGAGAAGGTAGGAGCCAGAAAGAACAATTTTATAAATTGTCGCTATAAATGTCAACACAGTTTTTTTTTTTACTTCTATGCCTATTCTCAATTATTTTGAATATTTCTTATGTTCCCCCAAATTCTGGTTTTGAAGTCCTTCACTTGTGCCCAGCATAAATAACTCATCATGAGTTAGAGAGGCAGTGAAATGCACATGAGGTAACTGACTCACTGCGCTGCAAGACACAGGAAACTAAACATGTATGACAGTATATGTCGGCAAATAATTTCCTCAAAGTACCATTTCCCAACTGTCCCATGAAGCAGTAACTGGACTGAGAAGAAACAGGTTCCGTGGTTTAACACGTTTGGAAAACAGCACTGCCGTTAGAACAGATGTCTATAGGTGAAGCTTCTCAAGACCTTGAATGGGTGTCTTTTCTCTAAGATTAAAATACTCTTACTTTCTAAAGCTTGTGTGACCACGTAATACCACTGACAACTTGAGCACACCTTTAGCATCAGGTATACTATAAACTCATCGTAATCGCCCTGTTTAATATAAAGCCACTTCTTATTTAGCCCATTTCCTTTCGTCAATACGCACTCTGCTCTGTGGATGGTTCTTGAGAATCTGACAAACTGCTATTCAGTTCCTCTCCCCTCTTCTCATTTCTCAACCCTGTA